GATAGGTGAAAAAAGGAACCTGAAATACAAAGCAATATTTCTGAAGAAAGCTTATCATTGCTATCATAATATATATAGTAAAATGCCCATAACTTTACCTTTAGACCATCAGACAGATCAGACAGATCTTAGGATCCAAGAGTTTGAGTGAGGAGGAGTACAGTGCTCAGCTTTGTGGAATGGAAAAGCTGAGACCAAGCAAGGTGGGAGAAACATAAGTAAAAAGAGAAGAGCAGCCTCAGGGGAAAAAAAGAATAACTTTCAAGGAGAGGCAAGCTTGAACTTCAAATTGGGAAATGGAGTAAAAATTCTGAGGATTAAAATTATTTTTCCAACAAATCCTGGTATCTTTTTCTTCCAAAAACAACTCTCTAGAGCAGGGGTATTGATCTCATTTGCTATGAGGGCCGGATCTGACATAAATGGGACTTTGTTGGGCTGGGCCATATGTGCCATAAAATGTAATGTCAAGTAGTGGAGATATTACATTGGAGCCCCACATTGGGGGGGGGGGGGTTTGTCAAAACTAATATTTCTCTGCAAAACTGGAGTTCCTTGAGTTTGCAGAACTCTATATTTTAACTGTAGTTGGTCCCAAAGCTTCCCTCCACCCTTAAAAGATGCCGGCTTAAAATGGAAAGATGGTGGAATACTGGGATTTGGCAATGCAATTTTTAAAATAAAACATCAAGAAGAAGCATAAAGATCACAGCAGAAACTAAAAATATAACCTAAAAGATATAAATGCTCTGAGCCTAGGACCCAGGGGAAAACATGAAATGGCTGAACATTGCAAGCTTCTCCCCTGCTCTCTACTCAGAGTGGGAGTGGCTCTCCAGGTTCTCAGGTTTTTTAACAGAGTGGTTTGAGATAATAATTTTGGTTGTCCTCTTCAACACTTGTTCTGCTATTGCATTGGAATCCCATATTAGGAGGGTGTGTGTGTTAAAACTAGTATTTCTCTGCAAAACTGGAGTTCCTTGAGTTTGTAGAGCTCTATATTTTAACTGTGGTTGGTCCCAAACCTCCTCCCCCCGCCCTTAAAAGATGCCTGCCTAAAATGGAAAAGTGGGGGAACAGTGGGATTTGGCAATGCAATTTTAAAAATAAAACAACAAGAAGAGGCATAGGGATCACAGCAGAAAGACACCCCAGGGCCCCTACCGGTGAGGAGGATGACGGAGGCTGGGAGTAGTGGCTGGGAGGCAGAAAGGCATGCACTCAAAGGCTGAATAAGCTGTAGAGTTTGGCAGCCCCGCCCGCTGCTCCCTGCACTCAGAGGCAGCCCTGCCCTCTACTCCCTGCACTCAGAGGCAGCTTGAGCTCAGAAGGGTGAGTACAGGAAGGGGAGGGGGGGAGAAGAGAGCCCCACTCGTGGGCCGGATTAAAACCCTGGGCAGTAGGGTTGCCAAGTGTACTTACCCTTGCTGGCGGGGGAGCCTTGCCGGGTTCCGGGAGCTCTCCCAGGACGTGCGCGCGCGCCACCAGCACATCACAGGAAGTGACGTGCTACGTCACTCACGTTGGGGGTGTGGCCCTGATCGTCGGGGGGAAAACCATATGGTTCCCCCACCCATGATCTGGGCCACGCCCCCAACGTGAGTGACGTGGCTGCATCACCTCTGGTGACGCAGCTCCGGGGGGTGGAGTTCCCCCCGTGGCCCGATTCTGATGATAGTTCTGACCGACAGGCCGTAGGTTTGACACCCCTGCTCTAGAGATTCTTTTGGCATTTGTGAGGTCATCTGGGGATAAGGAGATACAGAAGACCCCAGGGACCATGATGGAACTGAGCTCCCTATCCCTCTATCCATACCTCCTGGTGATGCAGTAGAGGTCTTGAACCACTGCTTGACTGCTATGGTTAAATGGCCAAGATGGAACAAATTCAAAAAGAAGCCTGATAAGACAGAAATAATGATAGTTGGGAAGGCTGGGGCCTTCAAGGGCATTGTACTTCCTACATCTGATGGAGTTCAGCTGACCCCTGCTGACTCAACAAGGACCCTAGAGGTTATAATTTATACCAGAGAAGCAAGTTGATGCAGTGCAAGAAAAGCTTTCTTCCAACTTCATCAGACCTGGAAGATGGGCCCCTATCTTGACTCACCCAATCTAGTACCTGTATCCATGCGATGGTAACATCAAAATTAGACTACTGTAACGGATTAGAAGTGGTTAAGACGCTGAACTGCAGGCTGTGGAAGGTCAGTAGTTCAGCAGTTCGAGCCCCAGGTGCCGCATGATGGAGTGAACTCCCATCTCTAGTTCCAGCTCCTGCCAACCTAGCAGTTCAAAAGCAAGAAATTGCAAGTAGATAAATAGGTACCACTTTGGTGGGAAGGTAACAGCGTTCCGTGCGCCTTGGTGTTTAGTCATGCTGGCCACATGACCACGGAAATGTCTTCAGACAGCGCTGGTTCTTTGGCTTGGAAATGAAGATAAGCACCGCAACCCTAGAGTCGGACTCGACTGGCTTTTGAGCAAGGGAACCTTTACCTTTTACCTTTAACAGATTCTATGGGAGTAAAGGTGAGATAGTATGGCCTGTCAGATTCTGGAAGCTAAGCAGAGTCAGTACTTGGGTGGGAGACCACCAATGAAGAGTCTGCTTCTCACTTGCCTTGAAAGCCCCTTGATGGGATTGCCATAAGTTGGTTGTGATTTGATGGTCCTTGTGGACATATGTAAGGCACTCTACATAGGTCTGCTCTTGAAGTCAGCGTGAAGACCCTCGTTGGTACAGAATGCTACTGCTCGATGGCTATCAGGAGCTAAATGGGGGGCATGCACATTACAACCATTCTGCGGCACTCCACTAGCTGCCCATCACTGTGTAATCTGCTTTCAGTCTCAGTGAGAAAGGTGGAATCACAGAATCACAGAATGGGAAGGGGCCATACCGGCCATCTAGTCCAGCCCCCTGCTCAGTGAAGGATCAGCCTAAAGCACCCCTGACAAGCGTTTGTCCAGCCGCTGCTTAAAGACTGCCAGTCAATAAGTGAAATAAAATTCTTATAGCTAATTAATGCAAATTATGAATTGTATGGAACACTATACATGGAATACACTGCCTGAATCAAGAATGACTGCTTACTGAATGCTCTTCCACAAAAAATAGCTGACTAAAAGCCACAATTTTATAATTGACATTACTCAGTTTTATTAGTACCTCTATCTGCTTTATCCTATTTGTCACTCATATGAGAAACTGTGAGAACATTTTTTGTGAAAACTGTAAAGACTAATTGACAAACTGCATGCAATATGGATTCGTTGAGTAATTAGAAATTCTCAAGACATTTTTTAAATGGATACATACTGAAACTTTCAGTTGTCACAGTTATTATTTCTCCTTCTAAACAAACATTAATAGAATCCTAATTTACTTCTCAGTTAAATCAGCATGTATTCACGGCATTACAGTGAGGGTACTGTGAATGTACAGCCATTTTAAAAAGAAAGAGGGAATTAAAACCAACCATTTAAGGACCTAAACTCTATAGACTATCTAGATGAAAAGCTGTTAATTGTGCATTCCTAGTCAGTGTTTTACAACAATCTGCATTGAGATTTCATAAACAGGAGCCAGAAATCATTCTGCCAACAACTTTCTACAAGTGAACTGAGGGTTCATTATGATCAATTATTGCTCATATGCATTCAGTATTCATACCAGTTTCACCACAGCTAGCTATACATCCAGAAGTATAATGGCTACCAACTAACCTCATTAAAATTCAAACACACTTAGAAAAGAAACACCTCATTAAAACAAGATGGGTAGCTGCATTAGCAGCAAACAGGAGTGCCACCACAGAGACTAACAGACTTTATTCCAGCGTAAGCTTTTGTGAGACAGAGCTCCTTTCATCAAATGTGTCAAGTGCATATCCATTAAGCCAATATATCTGGTGAGGGATGGGGGGGGGACAAAGGGTGGAATTTTTAAAATGTCAGATTTGTTTATAAATGGACAAAAATATGACATTAAAAACCACAGCATTCAGGAAATGGTGGGTGGAAATTTTAATCTTCCAAGGCATTCTCTTGCTAAAATGTACCGTTCTCCCAGAAAAGAACGCCAGAGAGAGAATCCAGTGCACCACTGCTCAATTAGAATTCATTAATAAGTTCAAGACTATTTCCCTACCAGGTCTCAAAAAGGATTTTGGATTTCTCATTCATTATGCCAATATCTTGCACAACCCATCCCTTCCATATATTCGATAAGTTAAATTATACTTCTATAAATTACTCTTGGATCTGCTTATCTTACTTCTGCCTGGGCTTTCCTAAATTAGGGTTTTTTTAAAAAAATTAATCCTGTTTTTTTCTATTTAACAACAGTAGGGAGTGGTCCTTCCTTACCCACTTTGATTAAAATGATTACTCTTTTGATTCTATCTTGTTTTAAACTGGCCTGTCTTTGTAATATCTAGGTTCACCAATCTCCAGGTGGTACCTGGAGATCTCCCACTATTACAATTGATCTGCAGACAACCAAGGCCAGTTCTCCTGGGGGGGGGGAAGGCTGCTTTGGAGGGTGGGCCCTGCTGAGGCACCTCCCCTTCCCTCCCCTTCCCTCCCCAGACCTGACCCTTCCCTGCCTCCACCTCCAAAATCTCCAGATATTTTCCAACCCAGAGCTGGCAACCCTAGTAATGTCACTTTCCCTCACCTTTCAGTTGTATTGGCCTAATGGATATACATGTCATGCGTGTGATGAAGCACCCACTGACACACAAAAGCTTCTGCTGGAATAAATTTGATTAGTCTCTAAGGTGCCATCACTAGGGTTACCAGGGCATGGTATCACAAAGTGATGTCACGGCTCTCTAAACTCTGTTCTCAAGCACCCCCCCTCCCAACAAGTCTCCAGGAAATCCCCAAGCTGGAGTAGACAGCCCTAGACACTGTTCCTGTTTTATTTTACCCCATGAAAACAGTATATTTCTGTACATAGTGGTGACTAGGTTAAGAGAATTAAAGGCACTTACCTAGCATGCGAACACATTTGGCATTCTGCTCTGGACTATCAAATGAGATTTCTCCACACCTCTGGGGGGAAAAAAGCAACACACTTAATACACATTCTTTCAGCAGAGGCACAGTTAAATCCCCTTTATCTTCCCATCCTTGACCGCTTTTCTTTTCCACGTAGCAGTATGACCACATACAGAGTTCTGCAGACAGAAAACTTTGGAGAAGCCAAAGCCATAAGTAAGAAAAATCCTTTTAATAAGTAAGAGAAGATAGTAACTCTCTCACAACTCCTTCTCTTGCCATGAAACTAATTACATCTTCATTTGGCGAAAATAAAGGAGGGAAAATCCTAGCAACCCCAATTTGGGTTTCAATAAGATTTTAAAAGATCAGAATAGTATGTTTAAGTGTGAAATATAGTTGGAAAGCCTGGAGAATGGAGGCCTGCTGAGATTTCATCTTGCAACATGATCATAAAATTAGAAGAGCAATGCTATGGTTGATGATAACAATTGATATATGTAACCTTAGTTCAGAATTCAAGGACAGGTCACAAATCATATATAAATTTTCTTTACAAGATAAATTTTCTTTACAATTTGTCTTTACAATTTCTTTACAAGATAAATTTTCTTTACAATTTGTCACTGGAAACCATGTGCTAGATGGGATATCGACAGGAAACCTCTTTTCTACAGTAAATCCAACATTAAATGCATAATCACTCCAATGCAGAAGATTTTTGCATATGCTTTGAAGATCCAGTGCACATATGTGAATCTCCTATGTGTGCAAGGCTGACTTTACTATGTGAGGCAGCTCCACATATGCATTCCATTGCAAAGTCAGAGAAACAGCCTCTGAAACAGATGGAGAAGCCTGAACAACTTCATGTATTTGTGAGAACTGGAGAAAAATTGAAGTTACTACTGGAATATGGTGCTGCAAAGTGCAGAAAAGTTATCTAATGTAAACAGCAGCTACTGAAATGCTATAACTGCAGCGTTAGACATTGTAGACTTTATCTAGTCTCTTGTGGATTAATAGTTTCAACAGAGGGAAACAATATTAGAAAATTATTTTAAAAATACCATTCTAAAATTTTATGAATGTGCAGTAAGACATGGAAATATTGTAAATAGTTTAACTTCTGATATCTATAAAATCAAAGTAGGTACAGAAATTGACTTTAGATAAATGAAAGAACTGGGGGGGTTGCTTTAAAAAAAATAGCCATCACTGACGTTCTCATGAATTGTAGATTCCTACTTATTTAAAATACCCTGCCTTTCTGCCATTTGCAGTCCCCAGTGCAGTTTACAAATTTAAAAAAGTTTAAAAACAACAAAGCTACTCACCCAAAGGTGAAAATGGCAGCAAATACAATTCATCAACTCAAATGTTGCCAACAAACCCACAAACTACAGATAGTCGCATGAGACCAAAAATTTAGTTAAATAACGAGGTCTTTTAACAGACACAGAAAACCTAGTGAAATAGATGTCTGACTGATGTGCCTAGGGAGGGCATTCTGTAGTCCGGGCACTGCAGTCTAAGAGGTTCAGTCCCTGGTAGGTGTCCACCAAACTTCCAAGGACCACAGAAGATGAGCTCATGTGTCGTCAAAGACAGCTGTAGCAAAGATTTCTTTAAAAAACCAAGAATGATGGTGGGTGTGTAGAACTTTTTGTACTATTCTGTAAGACCTTGTTTAAGTTATAAGCTCCTGCCATCAAATCCCAACTCAGCCATGGAAATTTGCTGGTGACCTTGGTCACACAGCCTCAGCCTAAACTACCTCACAGGATTGTTGTGAGGGTAAAATGGAGGCAATGAGAACAACATAAGGCACTTTGGGTCCCACTGTGGAGAAAGCCAAGATATAAATGAAATAGATTGAAAAATAAAATGGCTGTGCAAAAGATATTAAACAGCTGAAATCCTATGATGTTTGCCTTCCCAATGTGCTTTCAGGGAAGGCTCTTTCATAGATGGAAATCTCTTTTCAACATTTTATGTACCTGTAAGGCTGTGATAGCAGTCTGGCTATTTCACTGTTAAAATCTGCACACATATACATTATTTCTTTTAACAGAGAAGTAGGAAGTAGAGATGAGAACAGCAAATTATGCAGAAGCAACATACTAGTCTAGTATCCATAGTAACTAGAAAACTGGGAAAGGAACATCTGCCAGGGATGTCGAACTCATTTGTTATGAGGGCCGGCTCTGACATAAATGAGACCTTGTTGGGTCGGGCCATGTGTGTCATAAAAGGTAATGCCAGGCAGCAGAGATATAAACTTTATAAAGGACACAGACAAACACAATTAAATATTTTTTAAACTTTAAATAACACATTTCCAGTGAGTTCGAAACCCCTGAACCCTTTCCCAGTTTGGACCACTAAGTAAATGGAAATGATATCACACTTGTTTATTCTTTGTATGCTTGCTTGCTTGTTGGTTTTTTTAAAGAAAACATTTCAGAGTCTACTTTTTTGAATTCTCTAATCCAGATCACAATTTGGACTGAAAAATCAAAACTAATATGACCATTTTTTAAAAAAGATGGATACCGAAAGCCAAAAATAGTCACTTAACTATGCTGCAGCAGTACCCATCTTGCTGTTTTCTGTACCATTTAGAAATTATCACAGCACAGGAGTTCTAAGGCACTTAAAACTGAACTAGTAAAATTTTCACCAACTGAATAGGAGACTTCCCTTGGAAAATGGATTTATCCCTTGAGTATGCTTTTAGAAGTCAAGGCTGTTCTCTACACCGATGAGCTCACTCAATATTTTCCAAGAATGCAATACATTTTGCTCTGGTTTACCGCAGGAGGAAATGGACTATACAGTACAACACTGTTTGGTTAAGAAAATCATTTTTTCCTTTCCCCATTTCACAGAATTTAATAGGCTTCTTTATTCCTACTGATTTCTCATTTAACAGAATAGAAAATTTCCTGTGCTGAAAGATATACATTGATGTTCACGGGTGCCAGAGTAGAAAGATAGCTGCTATATTTCTCTGGGAAACTGCAGGGAGACTGTTCTAGGGAAAACACATATTCCTTTCATTGCCATCATTTTTTCATTCACTACTACTGAAACCTAAATGTTTAGCCCCATCCATCCAAACTGAGGCACCAAAAAGGTGTACACTAAGGCTATTATTCCTTGTAAGGGTTTTGGCCCTTCTCTTCTCTTGTGATTTTTATTCCTCAATTCTAGCTTTTTGCTGTCCCCAATCCACTTCTCCCTTTCAACATCATACTTCCTTCTTTAATTCCTTTCTCCTTATGAAGAGACACCCTACCTTTGATATCGTAGGACAGAAGTAGTCTAACTACATGTAGCCCATGTAACATCTGATTTAACATATGATTTGGTTTCTGTTAAAAGGTTTACACTTTAGGACCTAGGAAGCAAAAGGCCACAGAGCATGGTCAGTTAGTAAAGCTGCTCACACATTACCAGTTGCAAGAGCCCCACCCCCTCAGTAACAGTCTGGCCTGCAGCAGGAGAGAGAAGGCCTAGAGCCCGACTGACAGAACTGCTAAAGGCTCATAGCTACAGTGGGACATTTTGGAGCCCCGCCCCCTTAATTAAAAGCTCTGCCCCACAAATAGCCTTGCCAGAAACCTTTTGAAGAGAGACACCCCCCCACTGCCTACTGCTGGCAGTAGCCAGGGTGAGGGCACTGTGGCTTGCCCTCAGACTTTCCTCTCCCTCCCACTGTGGAATTTGTGTGTGGGGGTGGGGACCTGGGAAAAGACAGCTCAGAAGGCATTTAAATGCCTTCTGAGTTCCCTTCCACAGGGCAAGAAAGCTTACAGGGGTGCTCAAGAGTGGTACCTTCAATACGTCTCCAACAATCCCCCTTCTGCTAGCCCAGTCCTGCTGTATACCACCTAGGTCATGGCTGAGTCTTCCAAAAGCATTCCCATGAGCCTTTGGGAAACGGCCTTGGAGCCCCCCCTTTAAAGACAGGCATTCAAATTAATTTAATTATCTGTAATTTAACTGTCCCCTTAAAAATTTAAATGCCCCTCAAACAAAAGAATCCTGGCTACAGGCCTGACCGCTAATTTCTTTTCTTTAAAAAAATTTTTAATTCAAACTTTATTGGAATCAAGAATGCAACACAAGTCAATTTGAAAACACCATAGTGAAATATGTTCTCATCGTGCTAAATAACAGAATTAAATCCAATACAGATAATATCCTAAAACAAGTAACTACTGTTAAAATTCCATAAAAACTCTATAATGCGGGGAAGGCTAGCAGTAAGCCCAGTACACGGAGTTAAAATAAATCCAATTAGAGACCCGGTGAAACGTGGGTCTAATTTCTTTGCAGGTATGTGAGAAATTGCATATCAGGGAGAAATTGCATATCAGAATTTCTCTTTTAGGAGATATTATAAAGAAAGGGTTTGTCAAGCTGTTAGTTAAGTTGTTGGAAAGATATGGGTTAAAACACTTTCCCGTGTGTCAGTCTGGTCTGCAGCATGAGAAGGAAGGCCTAGAGCTTGACTGAGGGAAGTGCTAATTTCTTTGCAGGCCCAAGACAAGCGAAATGAAGCATCAAGAGCAGCGGCAACAGGAGCCATTGAAGAGCATATGGGGAAGAAGGAGCCCTGCACTTCTCTAAGGCCCCTTTCCCATTACTGTTCTAAACCGGATGTTATCCGTTGTTGGCCCAGTTCCGAGTAAAGCAACACAGGGAAGGGGGTTTCATACAGTGAATTTCCTTCCATTAATGAGCCATCTCTGAAGCACTCTGGCTATTTCAAACAGTGCCATTTATCCCCCCCCCCCTGTGCCCTTTTTTGCAGTGCTGTCTTTTAGGTTTTTAAAAAATCATTCTAAGTTGAGCACTGTAGCACTAGACCAAAATAGCAGCAACTAATCTCAACGCCTGTGCGGGCTCATGTTCAGCATGTGCTTTGCCAGCTGCACTGGTTACCAGTTGAGTACCGGATCTGCTTCAAGGTGTTGGTAATAACCTTCAAAGCCTTATACGGCCTGGGACCAACATATCTAAGGGACCGCCTCTTCCCGTTTATG